AATGATAATCCTATAAATACTGCGAAAACAAAATTTTTCATTCATTCATTCATTCACGATGTTTCAATCGAAATTTTACAATCTGATAATTTTACAATTCGTTATTATTTTGTTGATAATAAAATCAAATGTTGATGGTGCTATTTCAACACAACCAACAACAACAATAACAACGAGTAAACAATGTCAACGTGCTGATAAATGTGCGCTGACATTAATACCATTAACGGATGAAAAATTTATTGAAAAACCACCACGAACATCAACGGATATGAGAGAATGGTGTCAACGTATTGTACCAATGGAAAGATGTCTGAAAGATTATGCACAAAAATGTTTGAATAAACAATCCAGACAAACATTATCCGTATTGTTGTTCAGTATTTCGCGTACAAATAAACGTTATTGTACGAATAAAAAAAGACAAAAATCATTTTTAAATTATGTTGATTGTTTTCATCCACAAATACATTCGATTGCTAATGTTTTACGAAATATGACCACAGATTTTCATGCAATACCGTTGGTTAAGGAAAAAACGTTACGTTTACCATTAACATGTTGGTAAGTGTTGTTGCTTTTTTTTACATTAATCAATTGCATTGACCGAATATTCTTTTTGTTTCAATCATCCAATAGTTCATATTATAAATGGAAAAATATTGGTGTCGATAAAATAATTAAATCATGTCCAACCAATACGGCTGCACATGAAGAAGCTGAAAATCTTTTAGCTGGTTATACAAATGATCTTTTAGCAATTATATGTGGTGATTATGTTGAAGAATCGGATAAATGTGAAGGAATTATCGGGAAAATACCTGAATGGAAACGACCATTACGTTGGCAAAATTTTATACTACCATTAGTAACAATATTCGATAGTATCGATTATGATTCAATATCAACACCATGATTGATTGATTGATTAACCTATCATATGGTGTTTTTCAAATAGCAAAAAGAAGATATTTTTTTATTTATAAATGATGATGACATTGAATAAATTAAATAAACAAACAAAGAAAAAAAGTGAGAAAAAAGGGTTGAATATTTGTTTGTTTTTTTAAAAAAATGGTCGAGACAGAATATGATATGTGTGTGTGTTTATTTTACAATTTTAGTTCAACGAACCAGACGAATGAAACAAAAAAAACCAGATGTTGTTGAATAACAATCCTTTCTTCTTCTTTTTGAAAAAATGATGATGATTATCTTCATTACCATCAATGACTATGATAAGTAAGTAAAAGTAAGTAATGATGATGACGATCATTCAACTTTTCGACATAATTTGTACATAATGACAAACAGCAAACATAAGACCAATTAATTCAATTATAGCAAAACCTAATGCTGTCCAACCTAACATTAGAATATAATCACGCATTTCTGTACCAAATTTTGACCAACAACCATCATAATAAATATTATTTGGATGTTTTCTTCGACCACAATTCGGTATCAATGTTTTACAACATAAATCTGGTACTGGTATTGTTTTATTTCGATTATCATCAATAATAATTGTTGATTGTTGTTGATCATCATCATCATTTTGATTTTGATTATTATCAATAATTCTTAAATATTCATAATCATCATAATAATTCCAACCACAACAATGAAATTCTTGATATAGTTGTTCAATTTCATTAGCACGATTGACTAGTAAATTGGCTATATTAATTGAATCACGTATTGATATAAGAAAATTATCATTCTGTATTGATGATTTTGATGATGTCGATGATGATGATATAAAAACATTATCTGGACTAACAGTTATTATCGATATTAAACCAATAACCAATTGTATGGTAAATAAAAATAACAGTATAAATATATAAATACAAAGTATTAATGTTGAATTGGCAAAATGTGACCATGATGATGTTGATGATGATTTTGAATGTTTTTTTCGATTCGAATGTTTCATTTTGGATCGATCCATTTTATTATAATCATCAATTTGATTATTATTATTATTATTATTATGTAATATTTGATTAGAATATTTTCCATCATTATCAATCATTATCATCATCATTGATGATGATTGTTGATGTTGATCTGTTGTTGATGATGATGTTGATGATGAATATCGATGTCCATGATCATCGATACATAAATCTAAATCATTTGAATCATCCAATAATAATGATTCATTTAGATAAGCAGATTTTGATGGCGATGATGTTGATGATGTGGATATAAATAATGATGATGGTTCTTGTTGTTGTCGATTTGAATCGGTTAATAATATTCCGTTATGATTGTGACCATTACCGTCACCATAACGTAATAATGATTTATTTTCATTGAATCGTTGTTGTTGCTGTTGTTTTTGATGATAACAACAGCCACGATTTTCACCATGATGATATTGATGGTGATCACGATGATAATAATAATAATCCGAACTATTTGACCAATTTATTGTTGTTGCAAAGCAAATATTTATCAATGAAATAACGATAATAACAATACCACAGAATAACATTGTATAATGAATAATATGCACTAAATGACCATTATCCATTAAATTGATAATATTTTGTAGATATTTGGTTGTTTCACCAAGATAACGACTAACTTCAGGACGACCATATAAAACGGTTAATAATAGTATACAAATACCACTGAATAAGAATATAAAATTAAATAAATAAAGTATTAAATTGACAAAACGTGCTGAAAAACAACAACATTCTGGTGTTGGTATATTTTCACTTTGATTTGCTATTAATGATGATGGTGCAATAATTCTTTGTTGCTGTTGTTTTGACAATAATGATGATGATTGTCTTGATGATGATGAAGATTGTTGCTGTTGTTGCGGTTGTTGTCGATTAGTTGCAGCCATTCTTTTTGTTTCAATTTTGTTTCATTAATGAGATCAACACAAGAAGAAAACTATTTTCAATGATGCGGCTCAATTTTTTTGTTTGATGTTTATGGTGATGGTTGTGATGGTAATTTTGTTTGTTGTTTTAATCCGATCCGACAAAAGTGGATCATATCAACAACCAAAATGAAGAAAAAATTTTTTTTTAATAAGTTCCGTTCTTTGGATGATGATGGTTGGTTATTTATGGAAACAACCAAAAAAAAAAAAAAACACTGAGACATTTTTCATAATCAAGAAACAATGATCAATGTTTGTTTCGAAATTTCGAAATTGAAATCAGATACATATTTTTTTTAACAGTCTGTCTTTGTCTATGGATGAATGAATGGAAAAAAAATCAATCGATTGAATATCAAATTAATTTAATTTGATATTCACATGCGATACACACACACACACAAAAAAGAAACAAAGATAGCGACCATCATTTGAAATGATCGTTTGCATCTGGCAAAACCATTCACATCAAACAAACACACACCGAAAACATCAATGCCAATAAAAAATGTCAACCGAATGTACTATCGTTATTTTGCCATCAAACAGTTATGTCGTTGTCGTTGTCGTCGTCATCATCATTTGAAAAATAACGAAATGATGATGATGATAATATTGTAGGCGAGCATCCAACACAAACGAACAAAACACATCTACATCATCATCAAATGAATGAATGAATGATTCGAATAATGCGTGCGCACGTGTAACGGTTCTTTTGAACTAAATTCGACGAGAATTTTTTCTTGTTTTTTTTGACCCGAATTTTTGAAACGATAAATAATGATGACACAATCGTCGTTAGTTATTTGGTTGACAACAAGAAGATTTTGTTGTTGTTTAGGTTTTTTTTCATAGATTTAATTCGGAGAAACAAAAATGATCGTCAAGGACAACATCATCCATTTAATAAATAAAGAACGAGATGGACATAAATTTTCTTGAATTTTTGAAGGTTAAATTGAATGAATAATGAATTGAAATGACCAAAACGTTGATGGTGGTCGTCCGTCTAACACGACCATTTATATATAACGATGTTCGGTCAGTTAGTTGGTCGGTCGGTCGTTTTTCTTTTTCTATTTTGTTAATGACCAAATCAAAGCTAAGCTTTTCAATCGATTCGTTTTGGCTGATCTTGTTAGTGGATTGTGACCATTGGTGGTAAATGGTGGTGATCATTTGATAATAATGTTGTTTGTTGATAATGGTCACTCACACAAAAACGAATAAACACAGACACAGGGGTCATACATTAATAAAGTAATCGAATGGTTTTAAAACGTTCGAATCGATGATAAAAACAATCGATATTTTTTTTTTTTTTTTTNNTGGTTTTAAAAACGTTTGAATCGATGATAAAAACAATCGATATTTTTTTTTTTTTTTTTTGGGCGAAATTCAAGAAAATGGATTTTAGTAAAAATCCTGTTGTTTGATTAATGATTATTGATTTTTTTTTGGGAAATAAAATGATTCTTCCAAAATAAATGTATCAAAAAAACCATATGGTGTTTGTTTGATTAATATTTTTTTTTGTTTTTGGTGATCGATTTGTGTTTATTTTGTTTCATTTTTCCATTGATAACCCGTTTGTTATCGATGACGATGATGATGGCGGTGGTTACCCTGTTGATCGATCAATAAATCATCAGAAAAAATAATAATAAATTTTCACTTGGATTTGCATACAGAATTGATCATTTTGTTTTGTTTTGTTTTCGGTTGATATGACGTTTGACGTAATCATCAAAATGATTTTCAACAAAAAAAAAAACTTCACAAGTGCAAATGTATCCACCAGGAACAAAACACAAAGAAAGAATCGTTGAAAAATCACAAAAGATTTTTTCAATTTTTTCAGATAAGATCCACACCATGATCGATTCGAATGAATTCGAATTCGAATGAAGCGCAAACCTTTTTCATCGAATCTTTTCAGCAAAGCCAGCCAGCCAGCCAGCCAAAAACTATTTGCAACCATTATTGGTAGTGGTTGGTGATTTTAGCCTACATCCATTGGCTTCCCTCCATTCTCTCGCATTGTCTGTTTGTTTTGTTGATTGTATTTTCTCTCTCTCTCACAACCAAAAAAAAGGTAAAAAATACCTGTATTCTTTGCAAGAAAAGAAAAGAATAAAAAGCAATAAAAATCACTATATGAGAAAATGGAATTATTCCCCCCTGTGTGTGCATAAGTGTTAATGTCAATAATCATCGTCTTTTTTGAGAAAGAAAGAAAAAAAAGGTAGGTAAAAAAACACTGAAAAGGCCAAAAAAAATTCCATAATCATAATATTGACGTCGAACAAACGATGGTCAAAGTTTACCAATTTGCTGCTGCTGTCGTCGGTGTATAGATTTCGCGCGTAGGTTGTATAATAATTCAGTTTTTGGTTTGGTTTGGTGGAAGATTTTCTCCAATGTTTTCCATTCTCACCAACACACACACAGACATTCTATAAGTGAGGATAAATAAACAAAACCAAACCAAACCGAACTGAACCAAAAAAAAAGAAAAATAAACTTTGCCAAAAACATTCACCTCCTACACGCGTTATTGCTGTTAAAATAGACGTTGTTTTTGTTTTGGTTTTGTTTTTGTTTCCATCGATCAGTTTCGATCAAAATCCAAAAACAAGCAAAACAAGCAAGCAATAAATTTTCCAAAACATCATTCTCAGGCTTTTCATTCGAATCAGTTCAGTTTAGTTTTCAAGTTTATTTGATCCAGTTTCGTTTAGTTTAGTCATTGCACATAATATCCATAAATGGTCACATTCAGACCAATCCCTTCTATTCAGATCAAATTAGCTTTCAAACAAATCATCAATGTAATCATCAACCAAAAATTTAATTCAATTTAGACAATTTATATAAAAATGTTCTTTTGAATTTGATTGAAATTGGAATTGAAATTTATTTGGGTTGTCAAAAATACAAAAATGTCAATCCTTTTTTGAAATGAATGTTTGGGTGTGTGTGTGTGGTTGACCTGACTTGATTTGATTTGAATTGACTAACTATGAAAACATTACTTTTTTTCGTTTTGGTTTTGCCTGTTGTTGTTGTTGTTGCGATTCATTGTTGTTGTTTGAATCTTCTTGGCCATCATCATGATTATGATTACCATTAATTATCAATAATTTTGTTTGATGATCATCAAAAATATTCGAACGATTTGTTGCCTGATTAACCAATTGTTGACGTTGTTGTTGTTCTTGATTTTCAATTTGCTGCGATAATCGCATACATTGATCCATTGCTGGTAAGGAAAAAAGGAAGGAAATTTTTTTGAAAACCAATAATCGATACAATCGATATATTCAATACTTACAATTACAATGTGCATTCAATAAAAAATTTCTTATTCGTTCATCACGTTCTTCAAATACATAGAATGTTTTTTTCTGTACACTAACCATTGTACGTACAATTTGTTGTTTAATCATTTCACGATCTGATTGACGTAGTTTATAAAATTCAGCCAATGTCCAAAATCGTTTACATGATGGCATTGATAATGATGATGACCATTGTAAATTATTATTCTGATTTTTTTGATTCAAATTGATTTGTTCGACACTGATTTTTCGATTTGTTTTCGATGTTCGTCGTCGTCGGACAATATTTGTCAGTTCATTTTTCGATCCTTTTAATAATCGTCGTTGATGTACATTATAATCATCATCATCATCATCGATATCTTGGATATCTTCATCATCATACAGTTGTCGATTATCATTACCATCACCATCATTTTCATGGCCATTGGCCTTATCTATACGGATGCAACAAGAAAAAAGATACAAGATTAATAAAATTGTAAATGAAATGAATGAATTTTACCATTACGAGAAAAAATTCGATGCAAAAATGCTTTAGGCTTTTTGAATATCGTTGACGATGATGATTGTTGTTGTTGCTTTGGTCGTCGTTGTTCCGTCGTAAGATGATTATCATCATTATCATTTACCATCAAACCAAGTTGTTGTTGACCACAATCTTTCAAAAGGTTATCGACTTCATTATTAATCCAATTAATTAGATCATGATCATCAGAACGTCCATGATTATGCCATGATTGATGAAAACGATGTTGTTTTAATTGTACAATCATCAGACCACAATGTTCTTTAATCATTTCGATTGTATCATCAAATATTGGTAAAAAACGTTGTCCGGATTCATATGCAAGCCATTGATTACCTGATTCTAAATCTTCAGATATTTGTATAAAATTACAATAATCTTCTGGATGATTAAATGTTATTTTACGCCATGTATCTTTCAAACGAACAACAGGTGGACATTGAAGACTTTTTGTTACCAAATTTATTGCCAACCAATTATTTAATGTTTGCAGATGTCGTATAACACGAATAAAAAATAATATCGATCGAACACGTTGTTCTAATTGACGATTGTTCAGAATATTTGTTGCAATTAAACGTACAATACGATTTTGAAAATGAAATAATCCTTTAATGTGGGTACAGGTTTTCTAATGAATAAAATTAAAAGTATTCATTAATAAAATCCGGAAATTTTTCCGGGGATTTTCGTTTCCGGAAAAAAATTTTCCCGGGAAAATTTCCTTACTCACCATTGCATTTGTAATATTCAAAATAAAATGAATAATTTCCGATGATTTGATCGAATTAAAATATTTTCTTATCATAATTGATAATTCATTTGCGAATAGAATAATTTGTTGATCAGATTCTGGATCAAATTCCATCGATTCATCATTATCATCGTAGTCGTTGTTTACAGAAGAATTATCATCATCCGTATCTGATATTGCAGTGGTGATGGTGGAAACAATCGATGATTGTGTTGCCATCGAATTCATACGATTGAATTGTTGTTGTTTTCGATGTTCCGGATTAATCAAGGCAATTTTATCCTGATAACATTCACGTTGTTGTTGTCGTTCAACATCAAATGACCATAATTGTCCACCACCAAAACTTTGTCGACGAAATTGAAGTGGATCACTACCACCGCCACCAAATGTTGGTGGTACTAATGATTGTCGTCGACGATTACTAACTGCTTGTATATAACGCATTTCTGAATCCGATATCATTCCATTCACGTTGAAACTTAATTTTAATTCCGGATAAATCATATTACTTAAATCATCCATTGAAATATTATTTAGAATATTTTGACGATAATCAGATTCTAATAATTCTTCACCACCACAATCATGTCGTACATCTAACATTAATTCGGATGACCATTCACGAAATAATTGATTTTTATTTAGATTACTTGCAATCAAACTACCCATTTCAGGATTTGGCATCAAAAATACATGACGTGGTTGCAGAATTGAACCACGACGACGATTTCTACGTTGGCTACCAGAACCATTTGTTATTGGATTAACAAATCGATATAATATTTCATCCGAACATTCAATTAATTTATCCCATGTTTTAAAACGATTTTGTTTCGATTGAATTTTCGGCAGATTTAATCCAATCATACAACCATCATTAATACCTTCACCAAAACGATTGATTCGTGGTAATTCTTTGTGGCCATTACCATCGTCATCGTCATCGTCATCATCATCGGTTGCAAAATGATATGGAATACGCCATAATTTATCATTAATTTTTGATTCCGGTATACGAAAATATTTATTTACATCAATATTATTTACTTCATTGTTCGATGATGATTGTTGTTGTTGTTGTTGGGCCGTTAATAAACGACGTTCATAATCATCAATATAATTATTTTTCATAATTGGTTCTTCAGTTGATAAATATTTTATTAGTTTTAATTTTTGTTTTCGAATTGATTTTTCATCAAATTTATTCTTTGCAATAATTTCTTTTGATTGATTTGGTTGTTGTTTGGAATGGTTTTTATTTACTTGTTTCTTCTTCAAACTAAATCGAAATTTGTCCCAACCACTTTTCTGATGATCATGATGGACATTATCATCGTTAGATCGTCGTCGACGATTATCATCATTGATGATTTGTTGGTTACAATTATCACCATCATCATCATTATCGAGATTAAATTGTATTCGAACGTTACGTTTTTTTCGCTCAATATTATTATTATTATTATTTGTATCGTCCATCACTTTGATATCGTTTTCGGTATCGATAGTGGACATTGTTTTGATTTTTTATCAAATGGAAAACACAATGTTTCTGCACCGGAAAAATCCAAATGTGAATAACCAAATGTGGATGGAAAACAAAAGAAGGAAAAATGTACAAACGCAATTCTCAAATGATCAAATACGATGATCAAAAAATGTGCTGCTTTTGCTGAAATTTAACACTTAAGTTGTCAATCACAATGAACGAAAAACATACATAAATTTGATATTCGATGACAAATTCCAAAAAAAGAAAAAATTATAATTTTTTTATGATCATCATCATCATCATCATCAAATAATGCTGGGTGAGCATCATCAGATAATAATAATAATTATTGTTCTCTTTTGATCTATGTAATAAAAAAAATATTAAGTTTTTCAAACACCTTTTACAGTCAACAGGAGATTATATGGTTGATTTGGATCTTTGGATGGTTATAAATAGTAATTTCTGGTGGTTAAAAAAAACTTTAAAAAAGAAAATTCCCACCAATCACAAATATTTGGAATCAATTTTTGCCGAAAAAATCAATATTGAAAAACCATTAATTCATTCACCATGTCGAAATGTTCATGTCGAAATTCTCAATGAAAACAAACAAACAAGCAATCGGTTGTCATCATCATTATCGAAAATGAAATGAAAATTAACAACCAAAACGAAATAAAATAACTGTGGTGATGATTATTATGATGATTATGGTAGTGTATCAAATTTTATTTGCCAATCCATTGTCACATGCATACAATGCATACATAAATTATCAATTTACAAACACACTAAAAACCAACCAACGAAAAGGATCTCGTCGCATTATTTGATCGCTGGCTTTAAATAACGGAAACATATATTTCACAAACAGGAATCGCACTTTTTTTGTGATAAAAAGGAAAGGAAACTTTTCGAAAAAACTTTTTAATAATAATTTTTTATTTGTACATAGAATTTGAATTAAAAAAAAATTCATTGCGTTTCTTTTCTTTTCTAATAACTAAAATCTTGGAGAATTTTTTTAAAGGTTTTGAATTATAATAATAATATCTAGGATTCACAAAGTTCAATGTAATTTTTCTTCTGTTTCTTTTTCTTCTTCAAATCAAGTCGTCATCATTCATCGTTGTGACCAAAATTTAAAGAATTTTTTAAGATTATTTTCAAAAAAACCATCGCTAATAGATGGCGTTGTTTGTGGCGGCGGCGATGATGATGGTATCGATGGTGATGGCCGATTACTATCGATATCTAAAACAAGAGGAAAAGAATTTTTTGAAAAATAATGATGATGAAACACACACACAAATATAGGGAGAAAGCAAGAAAATGTTTTGAATTTGTTGTTGTAATGTTGTTGCAAAAAAAAACAAAACAAAAAGAAACCCAAAAACAAAACATAACAATTATATAAATTTTGATAATTATAATAATGTAAAATTAAAGGAGAAATAAATAAAGTTTCTGTTCTGTTAATTATTGTGAATGATGTTCAACAAAGAAATCAATCAGTGTGTGTGTGTATAGCATCATCATTATTATCATCATTTTGTTGTTGTTGTCGGATTTGTTGTTGTTGTTGTTATTGTTGATGTTTAGTGTTATTACAAACCAGAAAATGAATCGGCAAATAATTTTTCAATCTCTTTTTTATGTATATGTTTATTGCCGGTAGCCGGTGATGCTGATACTGCACGTCCAGCATAGCTGAAAGAAGAAAAAATGAAAAAAAAAATATTAACCCTTTGTTATTTTCAAACCAGTCAAAAAAACTTACTTAAAATTTTTCGATTCCATATTTAAATGTTTTAATGTTGTCTGTATTAATGGTTGTACATGTGACCAATAACCTTGATTTTTATGTTCTTCTTGTGTCCAAATAAGATCAGCATCCGGATATTTTGATAATTCATCACGTAATAAATCAAATGGAAATGGACATAATTGTTCAATACGTACAATAGCAACCTTATCATCTAATCCACGTTGTTGTCGTTCTTTTAATAATTCATAATAAACTTTACCAGTACATAATATTATACGTTTTACACCAGATGGATTTGATTTGATTGGTTCAGTTTCATCCGGATATAAACGACGAAATTCTGTTCCTGGTAATAATTCATCAAAACCTGATTTACATTGTGGATGTCTTAATAATGATTTTGGTGTAAATACAACCAACTATTGATAACAAAATAAAATAGTTTAAAAAAGGAATGATGATTATGAAATTTAACGAAATTATCAAATTTTACTTACCGGTTTACGGAAAGGTAAGGCAATCTGTCTACGTAATATATGAAACATATTTGCAGGTGTACTACAATTAGCAACAATCATATTCATATCATGTAATTGTTTTAATGGAAAATAATCATCAATAACCTAATATATGGAGGGATATACAAAATGAAATGAATCAAAAAAAACTGAAAATCTGAAAAAATTTTTCAAAGAAACTTACCGGAAATTCATCCGAATCAACAGCACATAATTGTAAAAATCTTTCCGGTCGTGCAGATGAATGTTCCGGACCCATACCTTCCATACCATGTGGTAATAATAAAACCAGGCCACTTTGTCTAACCCATTTAGCCTGACCACTACAAATAAATTGATCAATAATACATTGTGCTGTATTATTAAAATCACCAAATTGTGCTTCCCACATAACCAATGCATTTGGATTGGTCATTGAAAAACCAAGTTCAAATCCTAAAACACCATATTCAGATAATGAACTATTACAAACAGTATATGGTGCTTGATCAGGATATAGATGGCATAATGGACGATATGTTGATTTATCCATTGTTTGATGATGTAAAACATGATGACGATGACTAAATGTACCACGTTCAACATCTTGACCACTTAAACGTACATGTATACCTTCTTTTAATAATGAACCAAATGCTAATGCTTCAGCTAATGCCCAATCAATTTGACGATTATTAACCATTTCCATACGTGCTTTTAATATTCGCTTTAAACCGGGATGAATTTTAAATGGATCAGGTGGTGGTGTTGAAAATTTCGTACCAATATGATTTATTGTTTCTTCATCCACACCGGTTGGATCACATTTATGTTCAGGTCGGGTACCGAAAAAACCATGCCATGGTGAATCTAACCAATCACGATTATACATTTTAACTTCTTTTTCAGTATTTTTATATGCTTCAGTTAAAATATTATCATATTTTTCCCATAATTGTTTAACATAATCTTCGGTTACAACATTTTCTGATATTAATTTTTTTGCATATTTATGTACGGCCGGTGTTGTACTACGAATTTTTGTATACATTAATGGTTGTGTAAACATTGGTTCATCAATTTCATTATGACCATTACGACGATAACAAACTAAATCGATAACAACATCTTTACCAAATTTTGCACGCCATTCAGCAGCAACTTTACTAACATGTACAACTGCTTCAGGATCATCAGCATTAACATGAAATATTGGTGCATTTACAACACGTGCAACATCCGTACAATATGGTGATGACCGAGCTTCACGTGGATCAGTTGTAAAACCAATTTGATTATTAACAACAATATGAACAGTACCATGTGTTGAATAATCAGGTAATTCAGACAGATGAAATGTTTCATAAACAACACCTTGTCCAGCAAATGCAGCATCACCATGTAATAATATACTCATAACTTTTTTTCCTTGTACATCACCCAAATAAAATTGTTCAGCACGTGTTTTACCTTGAACAACCGGATCAACTGCTTCTAAATGCGATGGATTTGCAACCAATGCTAATTTAATATTACGATTACTTTTACGATTCAAACGTTCATGTGACATTCCTAAATGATATTTTACATCACCAGAACCCTTTTAAAATGAAGAGAATTTGATTAAAAAATTAAAAAAATGTCAAAAAACAGAACAAACCTCATCAGCTGGTTCTAAACTATTAAATTGAGCAAAAATCTGTTCCAATGGTTTACGACAAACATTTGCTAAAACATTTAATCGTCCACGATGTGGCATACCCATAACAATACTATCAATACCTAATACAGATGAATTATCAATAACTTCTTTCATTGATGGTATTAATACTTCACATCCTTCAAGACCGAAACGTTTTTCCGATGACCATTTTTTTGCTAAAAATTCTTCAAATTTATGTGAACGTGTTAAACGTGCTAGTAATGTTTTCTTTTTTTCAACATTTAAATCCATTATACCGGGTGTTTCGAATTTTTGCCTTATCCATTGACATTGTTCCAAATTATTTATGAACATATATTCAACACCAATATGACGACAATAAACATTTTCTAAACGACGTAATATTTCACGTAATGGTAGTACGCTTTCATTACCACCAATAAATGTTGTATTTGGTAATTTAAATACTCTATCCATATCTTTTTCCGCTGTGTAAATGAGGAGAAATGAATCAAAATTTCAAAAATTTCAAAATTTTCAAGGAAATAAAAAAAACTAACAAAATTGATGAACACGAAGCCAAGCACCATGACGATCAAAATTAGTAACATTAATTTCAAGTGGATCAAGCTTAGCAAAATAATGACCACGAATCTTTTTTTTTTTTTTTTGTTGGAATTTTGAATTTTGAAGGGTTAAATCCGAATGTTAGTTGATTAGTGGAAAAAAGGGTTAAAGAAAAAAGAGAAAGATAAAGAGAAAGAAAGATTATAATGTTAAAAGTTAATTAGGAAAGAGTTATGTGAAGAAATAGTGGATTCGGGTCAATTAATCGCAATGCGCGTTCAAAGGGTTAATTAATTTTGTTGTTGTTGTTAATTAACACTTTCATGTACCGAACAGAATAACACTACACACCTAATTTATATTTTCTAAGTACAACTTCTTGTGAAAGTGGTAAATCATTTCCAATTGAACTATGTTCCATTGCTGCATGTTGTTGTATATCCAATGGATCCAATTGTGCTGTATAATGACCACGAACCTATGATTTTTGTCATTTTGTTTCAAATTTTTTAAGGGCCAATAAAACAAAAATTTGGGGACCAAAAAATAAAATAAAATAAAATAATAAAGGATTAATAAAAAAAAACCAAAAAAAAAGAGGAAAGTTTCTTATCATCATCGTCATGTTACTTGGTATACAAAAATGATGATGATGATAAGAAAAAATGACGTAAAATTAATAAGTAATAAATTATGGATGGATATTGTAAAAAACTGTTGTGTAATTTTGCACTTTTTTTTCTATCAGAAAAAAAATTTACTATTTGCTTTGCAATGTCTGATACTGATAAATGTTTTTTTTTGTCAACCAGCCAAAAAAATAAAAATAAAAAATACATTTTTTTACGTTACCTATACACATAAACCAAATCTAATCTGATCTGACTGAGCAAAAAAAAATTTTTTTTTGTTGCCCGGATGGAAGTGATATTGGTTGGACAAAGATAATTTTTCTTTTTTTTTTGGTAAGAAAGTCATCAATTGATTGTGTAATGTTTTTGGGTCTATTTGGATTTGGTCCGTTTGTGTGTATTGAGGGTTAAAACAAAAAAAAAACATACCTGATATGATCGTATAATTGCCTGTACAGATAAATGATCTTCAATATCACGTAATGAATCGGATGATGTTACTGCTGAACGAATTTCAGCCTGGGTTGTTGGTGTACGTCCACTTAAACTTGGATATGATGCTATTGTTGGTGCAGGCATTGTTGGTGAACGATATGCATGACCAGGTTCAGCTGTTTCCGAAACACGAAAAAATATATCCCAACTTTTATGTACTGAATTTGGATCTTTTAGCCATGCTTTATACATTTCTTCAACATAAATTGATGATGATCCATTCAGAAATGGTTCTTGTACAACACGTGTTGCAATTGCTGTTTGTGTTGCTGATTGTGATGTTGGCCCTGTTGATGATGTTGGTTGTAATCGTTGTTGAATTACAATACCAAAACGTCCATGTTGCAAAAACAAGCCATTCAATAGACGTTGATGGCCAGATTTTAAAGCAAGTGCAGCACGATACATTTTTCGTTATTTCTTTAGTGGAAATTTTTGTTTTCAAAAATAAAGCCAAAATATAAGAGGGAATATAGAGCAAGAATCACAAAGAAGCACAGAATTATAGAATCATTTGCATTCGTCGTAGGCGATCATAAATCAGAAAAATCGAACAAAAAAATTGATGATTTGGTCAACGGAACAGCAACAAACAAAACGATTCAATTTTGCTCACAAAAAAAAGAAAACTTGTAATTTTTTCTCTTTAATTTCTTCTTGCGCTGGATATTTTGATTTAGATATAGATGATGATGAAGAAGATAATCTAAACGAAAGAGAAATGTACATTTTCTTTTCGTGAATACAATAATAATCAACTCACCTTGCAATGAATGTCTTTGTATTTGAAAACAACAAAAAAGTGTAGCAAGTAATCAACAATAAACGTTCAATGTTGTTGATTCGGTATATAGAATGATGGCAATGAATTTCAAACGAAACAAAAATTTCAAAGAATCGTCATCATCATCATCATGATCATTATGAATGAACTAATGTCGCCCAATAAATATATGAATGAATGTAATTATACATATACATTGCATACAAGAAGAAATTAAATTATCGAACATTCAATGTTAATCACCCAAAATGAAATGAAAACAATAACAGAAACAAAACTTTTCGGCAAAAAAAAAATGTAGCAGCTGTAGCAATTCAGCGTTTGATGATGATGATGAGTTTGATAGACAATTTTTTTTGTCCGTTTCTCTTCAATATTTTCGTTTTTTGTTTGGCCAAACTGAGTCGATGCAAAGATTTTTATATGCTTTTTTTTCTGGTTAGGTTGGCGTTTTTGTTGTTGGCGTTAAAAAGATCAAAAAGGACGCCTGGATAATGATTGTTGTTGTTCGTTGGTTGGTTGGCTGTTGATGATGGTGGCAGCAGTGGAAATTTTTTTTTTTGTCTGTCTTATTTTATTGAATGGATGAAAGGAATTGGGATTTTTTTGGTTTTCTTTGAATGAAAACTTCTTTTTTCTTTTTTCAAAGAAAAAATTCTGGTAAAGAATATTTGCCGCGCGCGTGTTAATTAGGTTGATAAGATATATCTTCGAATGTTATATGTTCGAAACACGCGTTCGAAACTGACGCTATTTTAACTCATTTTGATTGGAATCATAGTTTTTTCTCTCGTTTTTTTCTGATTTCTGGATTTGTAAAATTTTTCTGAATTTTGATCTATAATTATCTGTAATTTTTTAATTTTGATTTCAAAAAAAAATTGAATTTTGAAATTTTTTTAGAAAGAAAAATTGGCGAAAAAAAAAACTTTAAAAAAATTCAAGCTAAAAAAATGATAGTCATTTTAGGTCGAAATAGGCGAGAACACACGCACACACTCAAACATTCGATTCGAGCCACACGTTTATCCGGCTTTGTGTGTGTTTGAGCACTGAGAAAAAAAAACAAAATTTTTTTTGACAAAATTTTTGCATTTTTCATCCGAAAAAGAAATCAATTTGAAAGAAAAAAAACCATGTCAAATACATCGGTTCGTGTACATCCATTGGTCATCTATAATATTATCGATATTTATGAACGAAGAAATTTAGATGCAAATCGTGTGATTGGTACATTGCTTGGTTCGGTGGATAAATTGGGCAATGTTGAAATATCCAATTCATTTGTTGTTAAACATCGTGAAGCTAATAATGAAGTTGCTGTTGATTTAGAAGTAGCCAAAGAATTGTATGAATTACATAAAAAAGTTTTCCCTAGTGAAACAATTGTCGGTTGGTTTGCAACTGGTGGTGGTGAAGTTAATGAATATTCAGTTGTTATACATGATTATTATTCACGTGAATGTCAAAATCCAATTCATTTGACAGTTGATCCATCCGTGGATGGTATTTCAGTCAAAGCATATGTATCGACAATATTCGGTATACCGGATAAAAATGTTGGTACAATGTTCACACCGATAGATGATATAACAATATCATATTGTTATGAACCAGAATTGATTGGTGTTCGTGCTTGTATGTATGCTGCTGGTTTACCATCCGTTTCAACTGATTCGAAAGAAATTTTTCTGGCCAATGAATTGGATCAAATCATTCAAATGTGCAACAAATGCCAGGATGATATTGCACGAATCGTTAAATTTATTGAAGATAAAATTCTTTCCGGTCAATCAAAAGGATCAATTCCATCGAATACAAATGATATTGGTCGACAATTAATGGCTATGATTGAAAATATTATCCCATTCGGTGGTGATGATGATGAAGCATTTAATTCAAATCTTAAAGATTTCCTTATGGTTGTTTATCTATCGAACTTGTCGAAAACACAATTGGCTCTTAATGAAAAAATCAGTCATTTATTGGCAACTGAACGACCTGCTACTGTCGTTCCTACACAACTTCCATCAACATCATCTTAATTCTTTCGCGAGAAAAAGAAGAAGAAAAAAATCAACTTGAAAAAAATAGAATTTGAATCTGCTGCTGAAATCAGATCACCATCATCATTTTTTTTCTAATTTTCAATCTAATTATTTCTTAATTCCTCCTACCCTCCTTTACTTTTCCACAATTTGTATTATAATTTTTGAAAGAAAATTAAAAAATCTTGATCAATTTTTAAAATCGAAATAAAATAAAAAAGTTTTTTAATGAAAATAACAGCGACACGTCCTATATGAACGGTTCGATCGAATTCTTTTCGCCCATCGAATCTTTTTTTTCTGTTGTCATTTCAACATCGTCGAATCATATCATCAAACATTCGAATTGAATTAATTTTCATTTTTGAATTTTAAAATTCAAATTTTTCCTTCAAAAACAACAACAAAAATGGATGGCAAAGAAGATAATAAATCGAACGCAGATAATAGTAATGCATCTGTAGTTGATAAAAATCTAAACGATAGTTTTAAATCGGTAAATTGAATGAATAATTTGAATTTGATTTTGAAATTTTGATATGTTTCTTTCTTTTTTTAAAAAAAGGTACAATTATTATTGCAAACAATGCAGGATAAATTTCAATCTATGAGCGATGAAATTGTACATCGTATGGATGAAATGGGACATCGTATTAATGATCTTGAACAAAATATTAGTGATTTAATGCAACAAGCCGATATGATTGAAAATTCTAATGAAATTTCTGATTCACAACAACAACAATCAAATAAATCACAAACAATCGATGATGGTCAAAAACCAACCGATCAACAACAACAACAAATCGAAGAACATAACATTTAGAATAATCATGATCATCATTATCAATTTTCATAAAACATTCAATGTTTATTTAATTTTAATTAATTTGAATTTGAATTAACCGATTTTTTTCTTCAATTGATTGAATAAAAATTTTATTTCATTTTTCCCAAACAAAATTATTTGTTTGCTTTTTGTTTGATCGATGATAATTCAATTAAACGTTCATCACGCCATTTTCGACGTTGTTCCAAACGATCAACGGGAATTGTTTGTTCCATTTCTTTGACAATCAAATCGGCTGTCGTTCCTTTCATCATTGGAACAGGTCCAAATGTTCGACTTACATCATAAATTCCTTGTGAATATTTTTCAAAATATTCTCGCATACCATTAGCATTTAAATGAGCAGTTTCCCATGGTCCCATAAATGCATAACGCATACCAAGACCATGCGACATTACTTTATCCACATCATTGACAGTGATTACATCCGAATCAATTAGACGATAACATTCATTCAGTATGGCATATTGTATACGATTAACAATAAAACCTTCAATTTCTTTTTTCAATGTTATTGGTTTTTGACCAATTTTATCGAATAATGCACGTGTACGATCAATAACCGGTTGGCTTGTCCATTTTGATGGTACAATTTCAACTAATGGTACAAAATAAGGTGGATTAACTGGATGTCCAACAATCATCTGGCTATTATGTTTTAAACCATCAAATAATTTGGATGGTAAAAAACAACTTGTTGAACTACAAACAACAACATTATCCGAACAAATTTGATCAACGTCATGAAAAACTTTACGTTTTAAATCCAAATCTTCGAATACACATTCCTGGACGTGAACAGCACCATCAACACATTCTGCCAATGTTTTAGCTTTATGAACATGTGATAATTGTTCCGAAGCGGAAAGATTTCCACGTAAACATTTATCATGTTCTAATTTTTTTAAATGTTCTTCAATCCATTTTAATGCTTGATCAATTTGTTCTACATTAACATCGAAAAGATGTACATCAAAACCATGTGCGATGAAAATCAATGACCAACTTCGACCAATAAGGCCACTGGGAACAAACAAAAAACAAAAAAGCAAAGAATTTATTTCACCAAACAAAAGAAAACAACTTACCATCCGACGATACCAATTTTTGGTGCCATAGTTTTTTCGATCGTTTGTCGTTTAGTTTAGTTTCAAATCAAATTCAAAAAATGAATATGGATTCGAATTCGAATATCGTATTTATTTGGAAGATTCGAAAAAAAATATCGATTGTATCAAATCAGCAACAACAAATATCAATCGAATCGAACGATTTGACAAAAACAAAAACAAAAACCAAAAATAATTCAAGAAGAAAACAAATTCGGTAAGAAAAAAAACCAAGATTCAGTAAAAATCAAGTCAACAACAACAACAACAACACAAAGAAAAGTAATTTTGTTCGAGCTCAAAATCCAAATCTGAAAATATCTATCCATCGTCATTTGGTTTGTTTATCACTTCAATGATGGTGGTGATAATAAATTTTTCCCAATGAAAATGTGGAAAAAACGCTAAAATATCGAACAGAAAAAGTTATGCAAACTATCATTATCATCATCAGCAAATAAATCTAAAATTAGTGGAAAAAACGAAAACAAACAAAGTTTCTTGTCTATTTTTGGGTAACAACAACAACAAGATAAGATTCGATTCGAATGTTTTCGATCGTCCATGGTTGATGAACTTTTTGGTTTTTTTTGATTCGAAAAACAGAAATTTTTTAATTAAAAGTTTAAAGTTTTATCATTCGTGATTATCCAATAATTGAATCCGGATCAGCAAATGAATCCAATAAATCAATCAAAACAAACATTGGTGTTTTAAAACGTAATGCATTCTGCCGTCGTGTAATACGATCCAATGAATTTTTTCCGCCATTCGTTGAAGTTGAATTTGCATGAAATTTTAATTTTGGTTTTTTTGTATCACAAGCATCGGTTTGATGTGTATATTCACCACAAACTGTTTGTAAATCGCTTGAAATATTTGTTAAAAAATCCATTATTTCAAAACGATTTTTTCTACTACATTCATATTTTTCAATCAAATCATCAAAACAAATATAAACATCGGCTGTAAGGCTGTTATTGATAAAGGTAGGTAGATGTGATTAAAAAAAACAACATCAACAAAAGAATGATAACATACCAACAACCATGTATAATTTTATCTTTATCATTTTCTAGATCCTGTATACGGGAAAAATCTCTTAACCAATTATCAATACAAATTGTTTCCGTTCTTAAATGACGATTAATACATGGTGCAAGTTTTAATAATTTTGTTAAACGTTTTGTACGTTTTGAACAATAATTACGCATCTGACGATTAACCGTATAGAACATAATTTTTGCATATTGTACAACTTCTTTTGTAAAACAACGCAACATAAATGTTTCAATTGTTTTCGATACATTACGTATTTCACGACAAAATGGTCTCAATTCTTGATAGTTTGTTGGGAAATATGGTGCATTCGGTCCGGGTGCATAAAATCTTGATGCAATTTCATCAATACGTCGTTGATCTTTTTCCGAACAACCGGATTTTTTTGATAAAAGATATTGTGATGATTCAACTAATGATGATATTGATATAATGGCTATAAAAACTATAACGATAATCGATGATGGTGGACTGATGATTCTCATTAAATGTTTCATCATCATCATTTTTTTTAGTTCAACAATTTTGATCGATCAACAAAAATATTAATGAATCTGATCAGAATGATGAATGAATTTCAAATGATGATTAAAACTTGCATCGATCATGGCCATGATGATGATGATTTCTAATGTTTGCTAAACAAACAAACAACAACAAAAATTTACGACATCGATATATGTGTGATTAGATTGATTTTTTTTTCATTTCTAAGAAGAAGATATGATTTCAACAGGTATTTAAATGAAAGAAAAAAAATGTTGCTAACCATTCATTCATTCATTCATTTTCAGTACGATCAATCCATTGATGATGATGCTGAATGATTAAGAAAAATGATTATTTATAAATTCAGTTTCGAATAAATGATTGACCATGGTGTATGATGACCAATATAAACGAAAAAATGATTCTTGCATCAGGAATCGAATCGAATGGGAAAAAAACCTGTTTTTTTTCTGTTTCTACAAATGTCCTTTTAACCCTTGATTAATCAAATAATTTTCTTTTTTTTAGAAACAGAAAAAAACAAAAATATCATGATGATGACAAACTAACTAAATTTGACTTTTGCAAAAAAACAAGAAAAATTAATTAAAAATATTTTTATTTTTATTTTTAATTTAGAAAAAATTTCAATTCATTATTATTTTTAAGTAGAAATAGCATAGCCATAGTAATACCCCTAAAATTTATTATGTAATTTGATTTTCGAAACAAAAAATTAAACAAACAAACGAACGAAAAAACATATAGAAATTGATTGAAGAGAAAATTTAGGAAAATTTTCCAAAAAAAAACCAACCAAATAACCAAACAAGTAATGGCGAGAGGGAATTTTGTTTTTGTTTTTGTTTCGCAATCACCTGACTTATTCGTTGGTCGATGCCATTAATGGTTGTTGATGGTGGTGGTGATGATGAGAATTTAAATGAATTAAATGTCCTGATGATGTTCGATGATGATCAGCAAACAAATTAAATTCTTCATCATCATCATCATCATCGACGTCTTCCTCTTCTTCATCATCATTAATTTGATTAGATTTAAGTATCAATGTTCTTTCGTTTTGTTCATTTTGTGATTCAATTTTGTTCAATTGATCATCATCATTATCATTAGAATTTTGTTGAACACAATGACGTTTAATACGTTGATTATCAATTATTTGTCCATTATCAATTTTATTATTGAGATCTATAATATTATCACTTTGTTGATGATCATTATTGATAATGGAAGACAATGATGATGATGATGAAAATGAATTTTTTGGAATATCCAATGATAAACTGGAAGATATTTTTCGTTTTATTGATTTTGTTGTCAATGATTCATGATGATCAAGATTTGTTGAATCGGATTTTTGATCATAATGAACATTACGATTCATTGTTGTAGATAAATTTTCAATCGAATTAATTAGATTAATTCTAGACACAACCAAATCATTCATTGATGATGATGATGAGATCATTTTATTGGCCAACATTGTTCCATTATTCATTATTGTTGTTGTTGATGATTGGCCTTGTTGTATCGATTTATGGTATGATGATAATGATGATGAATAATGATTGAATGAATAATTAAAATTAATACGACAATAAACATTTGATATTTGTTGTTGATCTTTGATTATCGATAATGATGGTGATGAATGAT